TATGTTTCTAACATCATCGCACACAAAGAAATCCACACATAGACACAAAGCGACACACCGGTGACAATACCTTATTCATTGTTTTTCTGCTCTCAAAATCTGGCACATGCACATGTATTTTCAATTTTGAAAATTCAAATAAAACAATACATATGGATATGTACATACAAAGTGAATTGTGCAAATGTATACAGATTATGCTCATGTATGGATTAAATGCATAATGTGCACAAAAAAAATGAAATCATACTCAAATATGTGACATATACTACATGAAAATACACAATGGTAGAATATTGACTGATGGTAAAAATAAAAATCATGTCCGTGTAGCTCAAACTACAGATTTCTGTCCAAATTTCTCTCCAATCTCTTTGGTATACATAAAACGTCCCCCCATATGGCACAAGCAAATATTACACTCATTAAAAGGTACATCTGATGGCACATTTTTTCCTTTACAATTACCCTTTGGTACCACACCAAACTCAATCGATTTGTACTTATATTTATCGCAGATACATCATCAGTTTCAAACACAAAGGCACAAATTTTCTACGTCTGTTTAGCTCAGCCAATATAGATTTCTCATCCTTAGATTACATGGATACTGTAATGAAGTAGTGAATGCCACGAGGCTTGAAATAGCTGGGTACAGTAAAAGCAGTATCAGCATAATTAATTGTGTTTAGAAAGGGGAATTATACCGACGTGTCTGCATTTCTGCATGATTCATTTGTTATAAACAAAGTCATTCAGAGTGGTTTGATGTGAAATGCGCCGTTTTAGAGACACTTTCCTAGTCAGAATTGTTCACAGTGGTCGTGATAGGAACCAGATGTCCAAAGCATTTACTGCTTCTAAAGGCCACCTAAGGGAAATGGTTGTGAATATGCTGCCTAATGCTTGAAACATTGTTCCACTGATGGTGGAGAGATACATGTAGGGTGTTGTAAGGCGAAATAGTGCCCAAAACAACATGATGAAACCTCAGAAGACTGGCGCATGTTCACTGGTTGCTTTGGACAGTAAGTGTAAAATTATAAAGGAGGAGGAAACGGTTCACTGGTTGGAAAATGAATTGGAAAACCTGTAATGCTCAGCATGGCGTCTGTTTATGAGGAAAGTCCCAACCTTAAAATACATGAAAAGAGCCAATCAGCTTGCTTTTTAAGCCACAAATTGTGGAGATCTGCGCAGGAGCAGTCAGAACACCCGAAAAAACGTTTTTTTTGGTGTTACTTGAGTCAAACGCAACAAACAAATTGAGATTTTTGTCTGATTTTACTTATAATTTTTGAAACAGTAATTTGGCCCCAGTGTCCAGTTTTCAAGTCTCTCCCCATCCAAAGAGATAGAAATAAGTGCTCGGACAGCCTTTCCTGCGATGCCTTTGTAAATAAAATGCCCATATTTTGGTTGTAGACATCGCGACTCCTGGTTCCCATCATCACCACTGTAAAGAAATCTGAGTCAAGTCAATTTCTCAACACTGCATTTCACATCAAACCACTCTGAATGACTCTGTTTACATCTTTTCAACCGAATTACGCAGAAATTTTAAGGACAAAAGTTCCCCTTTAGGTCTCTCTGTTCGCTGAAAACGATTCGCCAAACAATCATAACACTGAATTTCTTTCAAGGACCATACAAGAATTGCAATACTAACTAATAGTTAATGAGAGACATCAGCAATAAAAAAACAAAAATTTTTTGAAATATTTTTTCCCTTCCCTTTTCTGGTGGCGCTTCTCTTTTTGTAAAATAACATCTAAGCAGCACTGAGATGGGGGCACTTTTAGACTTAGGCTGAATTCTCGTCCGTCTCCACAGGGTATCAGCACCGTAGCGGGGTGCTTATGGGTTCGGGTGGGTTTGGAGTGAAGGTGGCGCACCTATACGCACTGAAAAAGAGCCCTTACGTGTGCTGGGTCTTTTTTTTTTCTTAATAGCAGGCTCCATGACTGCACAATAACTCCATACACATAATACAAATTCATAAATACAAATTCATCTGATACTTCAAAAAAACAACATCAAACACACATTATAACTACGCATGAGTAATTAGGTTTAAATACTGTCAGCTTGCTTTGTTTCCTTTTTCTTTTTTTAGCCGATGGAGTGATACAATAATAACGTCTGTACTCAGACTTAAGTGTGGCGTGGTTGAAAAGCAGTGCACCATACAATAAATCAATAGCAAAAAAATCCCTTATCCATCCCAACGTTTTAAGATACACAGTGTTGAATATCTTTCCAGGTGTCTGGAATTTAAATGCACAACAAAGAAGCACAAGTATTAAGTAATAGACACCTAAATAGGCTACAGGCAAACTTCTGTCAGTCGTAGATGAGGAAGGGTTGGCAAAAAAGGCACTACATTGTTCCAGATTGCTAATTCTATAGACATAAAGAAAAAAATAGGGGGGGACTCAGAAGCCTCTGCTTCGAATAACTGGCACTAAACAGATCTGAAGAGTCCATTGTCAAAAGCCAGCGCTGCCTCACAACTGTTTACTCCACCTTAATGTGAAACCTTTCCAAATTTCCAACTGGAAGTGAGGACTAACTGAGGACCCCCCCTCTTATGTTGCTATCTGTCTGAAATGTAATGCACGCAACTACACATACAACAGATTATTACCTAGTGTTCCCAATGACAAACTAGAACGAGCAAGTTGCGGGGGAAAAAAAGCCAGTATAAATGGAGGCCGAGGCAGAAAGACGGGTCGATATTGGACGCACCCCTTCGTCTTTTCCACAGTGAGCGAAAGCGAGACTTTTACAAGAGATGCAGTTGAGATTTTCACTAAAGGCTCATACGATTCATCACCTTCTCACACTAAAAAGAAAAAAAAAGGCACGAGAGAAAGAAAATTCTACTGAAAGTTGCCCATACAAAAAGGAAATGCATTGAAAATGTATTACGATATAATCTGTCCAACACTGACAACGTATTTCCTTTTCGTAAAGGCTCCATTGCACCAAAGATACCAACCCATATTAAAGTGGCACAATTCATCAATAATTCACCAGTACAGCAGAACATTCCCAACCAAGGCCACGATTATGTGAGCAGAAATCAAGAAAAAGTTCAGAATAGTTCAGACCGACGAACGCTACTGGCACGATCCGAGAAAACAATCGAGTGACTTTTTGCGGCTACGCGTTAAGAGAAACAGGACGAACCGAAAGATTTAAGAGCTCGAATGGTCCAGGAACCGAACGTTCTCTCGGTTCGACTGAACGCCTCGCTTCAGAAGAGATACGAAAAATAATCTGTAGAAAAAATCTTCTTAGAACAAAATACACAAGAGTCGTTCACAGTAATAACTGGGATGTGATTATAAATGCTTTTCTGTCGGAAGAAAAGAAAATATGATCCCTTACGATTCCTTTTGCTGTATTTCCCTTAAGTGAAACTTTGTGCTTTGGAGCTGAAGGCTGTTGGGCTGGCGACGGAAGCTTTTATTAATAAGGGGTTCCACCGTATTGCTGTAGATCATCACGTGACGTAAGGCTAGCACTGCGACGAGAACGTCCACTGAAGAGCCGACGGGAAATCAAACGGCGGCTTTTTTAAATATTATACAAAACACAAATTATGTGGTTTGTTTGGCGATATTATCGACGATAATATCTCGGATGCAAGTGCGGATTTGCTGGGAATTCCACGGACTGGGTTGCACCAGCTCGAACAGCTGGTACTAAATTTGGTTGCACCACAAATCCTTAAGTCTTAGTTACAGCTAATCCATACGTCGCTTTAACACGATGAGCTCAGGACTGATCTATAAACCATGTGTACAAGCAGAACTGAACTAAACTGAATACCTACGGCCACTGTATGTTTATGCTTTAAGATTTCCTTGCGACTTTAAGGAACGATGGTTTCTGGGTAACCGACACATCAGAGGCAACAAGTTTGGAAGTTTCGGCAGCTGCTGAGTCTCAGTGAACTGAGCTGTTGGGAGTTAAAGCCAGGATGTTGATTAGATCTGTAAATTATATCTCAGTATGCAGTGTTAGTGTTTTAAGCTTAGTTGACCAAAAAGGTCATGTTTTCTGTCTTTATTAGGCTTTCTATGTGGTTCCCTTTGGTTCCTGTTGGTTCCCCAACCCTTACATCTGCTTAGGGGGAGGTATTAGTTGGCGTTATTTAGTAGATACGAAGCTCAGCATAAGAAGTAGTTTGTGGTGCAACCTGTTTGCGTAAACCTGAACTTAGCAAACGCTTCGGCCTACGTTACGTACAGCTGGTTGTTCATGTTGTTAACTGTGTCTATTATGCCAACGCATTTCAGACAGATACGCCTCCCTTCTTTTTCATTACGTTATTCACGAGCATCCTTTTGCTACCAGACATGCTAAAATGGGTAGTGTAGTTTTACCCCATCCATCTCTCTCTGCAGCTACGGTCAGCTATCATACCTTTTACCTTTCATCTATTTTCACCACAAACTCAGCCATTCCTGTGCTTAGTGCTCATCTCCTACCTAGTAGCCATATGCCGAAAAACCGAAACCATAGGAATAGCTCAAACTGAGAACATCCGATTATGTCTTTACAGAAAAACAAACAAAAACGACTCACCGAAGCCTTTTGTGGTGCTCATATGTGAAAGAATCAATCGCCCGAGGCCCAAGGGCAGTGATCCAATCTGACAATTATATTCCCCTGATCTACTACCGAATACTTCTGCTTACAAACTAGCAACTGGCACTTTTCATCCACAAGGTCGCGCCTCAAATCGGACAATAACGATTTTTGAAATTAAGAAATGAGTACAGCAAAAATAATTGTAATATATTAACATAAATCGCATTAAAAAAAAAAAACAAAAGAACCACAGAGCCGTCCGGTGTCATAATCTTTAAAAACGGCATGCTAACATTGTTCCATCATCTCTGATTTTGTTCATTAATTTCACTGATCGTGTTCATTTAACTCATTTATCCTGAAGGCACTTAATAAACACACACACACACACGACGAAAAAAAAACAACACATTACCAAAATAACAAGAACATCCGAAAATGAAACTCGCTGCCCTCCCTTTTCCTGCGTTCCGTTTTGTGCCAGACTGTGATCCACACAGCAAACCCCCTGAACAAGCTTACATTTCTTTTTTCACTGTTGTCAAGTTCTTTAAGCAGGAGGCCAAACAGGCTGTTGCATTGTAGACTCCTACATCTAATATGTGACTATTAAGGCACCTCAGGAGGTGAACCTCAGTAATTTATACCCTCTTACCCCAGAAAAGAGAGAGAGAGAGAAAGAAAACGAGAGAGAAAGAGGCAGACAGACAGTAAAGATCAGCAGCTGCAGAGGCAGATCAAAGCCTCTCTCCCATTCGGAGTCTCGAATACTCGTTTGCCTCTTCTTCCTCCTGCTCTTCCTCCCCTCGTAAAGGTGTCTCTGGTCTGGCCAGCGGAGCGCTTAACTGTGCTATTAACGGTGGCTGTGTGCCACTCAAAGTGGGTGCATGAGGAGCAGGGGATCTCTCCTCAGCCTTGCCTGTAAGCACAGGGTCTCTAAAAGGGTCTTTGTGCCACTCTTCCGACAACTTAGACGGGCCCACGCTAGGTCCCTGTGGCACCTCACAGTTGCTACGACAGGCACTAGTGGAAGAAGAGGACCGAAGGTGGTCAGCTACAGCCGGTGACGCGGGTATAGTGTTGGGGGCCATGCTGAGTGCTACACTGGGTTTGCTGATGCTCTCCTCAACGGCGCCCTCTTCCTTGCCCTGAGGCTCTGAGGAGCCAGCCGGCTGGTGCTTGGACCCCGGCCCGCTCTCGTTAAGTTTGGGGTACAGGTAGGTCCTCATCTGCCCTTTCCCCTTAACGTTAACAGTGCCGCGGTAATCGAACGCGTAGTTCATCCCGCTGAGGACGCAGTGGCTCTCCTCGCTGACCTGAACGCGGCACTCCACGCCTGTGCTGTCCATGCGGCTGGCGATGTTCACCGTGTCACCCCAGATGTCATACAGCAGCTTGGTGGTGCCGATGACCCCGGCGGTCAGCGGGCCGTGGTTGAAGCCGATTCTCAGCTTGAACTGGAAGCCCAGCATGTTCTTGTTGAAGTCGTCCACCACGCGCATCATCTCCAGCGCAAACTCAAAGAGGGCGCACAGGTGGGCGTGGGGGTGCGTCTGCTCGCGGCACTGCCGTCCGTTCAAGCCAGACGCTGCCATGTAGGTGGCTCCGATGGTCTTTATCTTCTCCACGTTGGAGAACGTGGACTTGCGCAGGAGCTCGTCAAAGTCTCCGATCAGCTCGTTCAGCACGCGGTAACACTCCTTGCCACCTTCGTAGCTCTCCTCGTAGAACTCGCTGAAGTTCACAATGCTTGCAAAGATCACACCAACGTTGTCGTGGTTCTTGGAGTAGCTCTGCGTGACTTTCAGCTGCTCAGCTACGTGGATAGGGATGATGTTTCGCAGCAGCCAGTCTGCCTGGTCTCGCATGTTCTGGATCTTGATGCGGTGCTTGTCAGCCTCCACATTGCCATGGTAATGCAGACGGTAGCTGACCTCAAACTCGCGGTTGAGGAACCAGACGAGCAGAAGCAGCAAGAAGAACGACAGTGGTGTCTCCCTAATCAGCAGATCCAGTGCTGTGGAAGCCGGGTTGGAATCCACATCAATACTTACGTTGCTCAGGTTCCTGAAAAAGTGTGGGGAAAAAAGAACAATGAATCAGACTGGGTTACTACAAAAACAGCCACACAGACAGAAGCCATGAATATCGGGCTTTAATTACAGATGTTAAGGGGTATGCATGGATGCAGCGGTGTGCTTTCTCAGTATGCGCACCATGCAATTAGGTGGGATCCCCTGCGTGGGAACCACTGGCAACAAAATGTAATAGACCTCACACTGTAATTAACTTTTAATTTGTTCAACATGGAAATATTAGCTATTTTTTCTATGGCTAAAAATAAGCACCTTAATTTTTTTGACATGAGCCAAATCATAGCACGCTGAAGATGCCATACTTAACGTGTCTAGTTAGTAGAGCTGGGACTGAAAATTAAAATTGGTAATCAAGCAATCTACCAATTATTTTGACAATTGAGTAATCTGAGTTTTACAAAAAGGCCAAATGTTAAAAATGAACTGAAAAGAAACAATAACAAGTCACGTATAGCTTTCAAGATCCCAAAAGTGAAAAAAGAGGCGGTTTTAATGTCCCGTACCTACTTTATTATTCAAATCTAATCACAACCAGTTTACTTACATTTACTTAGACTTGATTTTTTAATCTCTCTTTTAATATAAAAAAAAAAAAACAGTTAGTTAGCAGGGCTGGGCAATTCATCTTTTTTTCCCAATTAGAAAAGATAAAATGATTCACTGAAATAAAATTAAAATAAAATGATTGTGTTTCACAGCGATGCTCTCATTTTGTGTGTGTGTTTGTATATAAATGAAAACGGTAAAGTTAACATTTTGGAGATACAAGGTTTTGTTGTATTGTATATCCAAGATGATAACTTCACATGAGGAGAAGATATATATATAGTTTTTTTTTTTTAGAGAATTTTCTCTGTTAAAAATTACGATAACCACTATACACTCTCAGAAATAAAGGTCCTAAACTGTCACTGGGGCAGTGCCCCTCTTGGCACTGGGGGGGGACCCTCAAGGGTACATCTCAGTATATATATATGATCTCAATACTGAACAAAATATTTGAGATCATGATTTTTTTTTTTGCCATAATCGAGCAGCCCCACTACTTAGCACCTGTAAAAGCTTACTACTATTCAAAATCCAAACCCACCTAAAGACACATCAGACTAGGATGATGATAAAATTAAAGGCTGGTGTTTCTGCCTTTGATTGGTAAATGCCAATCCCAGTTCCTTGCAACAACAGGTTGACTCAGTTTTTTTTCCCTACTTTCTATAATTTCAACACAGCTTAGAACTATTTTACTGGTTTGTGATGGCAGCAAGTGAACGGTTAAACTTCTTCTCTTTCCTTGTCTACAGAGTAAGACGCACATCTCTTACTAACAAAATCTTTGCTGCCAATACTGGCAAATCTTTTTATCTTTTTATCCTACTTTAACAATAAATGGTCTATGTTAGCTACAGTTTTAAAGGTAAGACTTCAACAGCAATGCTAACGTGGCTAATAACAATCTAAAAGTTATGGCCTCTGATTAGCACAGTGGCGTTTGCATAATGATAATCATTAATGATTCCATTAATGATTAGCAGCATTTGCATTTCAGCCTGATCCTTTAGGAGCTCATGACACAGACTCAGGGCTCCAGGATGAAAAGAGCTGCATCTGTGAGTCACCGCCATCCATGGCGTTTTGGACCATTATGATGAGTGAAGCAGATCAGCCTCTATAACACACACATAATGGAGGCCATGCCTCAGCCAGCCTCTAAATGGCAGCTCTAAAATCAGTGTGTGCTAGGGGCCGTCTCCTAGGCAGCCGTAAAACTCACACTCACCCAGTCGCTGGAAAGCTGTCGCTGGTGCTGGAAGACAAAATGTCAATGTCAGTAGACAGATCAGCAGGAACACGTATATAAATGACCTGGATACATGTTATTCACATACATATATATATATATATACACATATATATATATATATATATATATATATAATTCTTCTATATATATATATATATATATATATATATATATATATATATATATATATATATATATATATACACACACACCAATCAGCCAAAACATTACCGCTCACAGATGAATCGAATAACATCAGCCCAATCCCATTTCACCCCTCGCCCCTACCACTTAGCCTTCAGCCGTCCATTCGCATTCACATCTAGGGGGAGGGTGTCCTGATTCTTGTTGAGATAGAGGGGTAGGGCGAAGTGATAGGGCTGCATGACCCTCCAAACAGAGGTTTTTCAGAGACTCCAAACAGAGTGATATGAGAAAAAAAGAAAAACCAGCTGTACACTCTCAGAAATAAAGGTCCTAAACTGTCTCTGGGGCAGTGCCCCTCATCACTGGGGTGGGCCCCTCAAGGGTACATCTCAGTACCTTTAGTCAGGGAACATAACTGAACCATAATCCACTGAAATGATATTCTCTAAGCTGTACTGACTCCACACACCCCGCCTCGCCTCCAGGCTTTTATTTTGTTCTGTTTTAAAACATTCGGTTATGAAAAGGTACAAATACGAACTTTTCACCTGGAAAAACTTATTTAAGGTTCACAATCAGACCTTAAAACTACTGCACATTTACCTTGTTTGTACCTTGATGAATAAATTTAATGCTGTTTCAAAGTATTTGGTTCTTTTCTTCATAACAAGTACTAAAAATGTCCTAATAGTGTGCTAATGTTTCAACAGTTAGCTAGCTAAATTACCCATTATACACCTTAAATAGCCCAGCAGTTCTGATGCCTGAAGTACCAGAACGTACCAGCTGCTCCATTTAAGGTGGAACTGGAAAATAATAAATAATTGCCCCCCTCTTTGAAGGCATGTGATTCCCTAAATGTAACTAAAGCCCAGCAGTGAGGAGCTGAACTTTACCCTCCTCTGCTGTCACTGCAGACTGGCAGGGTCGCCTACAGAGCAGCGCTGGTAGCTGTTAATGAAGTGATGCTCTTTTTATTTGAGGGTCTCATTTCAGAGAGGAACATTTCAACTATTACCCCTGTAACTCTGTTCTAAGGGGTTAGGAGACACTCGAAAACAAGGGGTAGGGGTAAAGAATAAGAAATGGGACTGGACCATTGATTATCTTGCGACAATGATGTCTCTAAATGTGTAGAATATATTATACGTAAGCGAACAGGTTCTCAAAGGCGATGTGAAATAGGCAGATATGAAGACCTGAGCAACGTCAACAAGGACGTTATGACTGGACGTCTGGGTCATAGCATCTCCGAAATGGCAAGGCTGGTGGGGTTCTCCTGGTCAGCAGTGGTGAGTACCTACCAACAGTGGTCTGAGGAGGGACAAACCACAACAGGGGGCTGGGCGCTCGTACAGGTACATCCCTTCATGGCAGTGGTATTCACTGGTAGTAGTGGCCTCTTTTGGCAGAATAATGCGCCCCGCCACACTGCACACATCCTTCAGGTCTGAGGAACATGAAGAGCTCAAGGTGTTACCCTGGGGCTCCAATTCCCCATATGTCAATCCAAATGAGGATCTTTGGGATGTGCTGGAACAAGAAGTCCCTATCATCAGCGACTCTAACTCACAACTCACAGGACTTTTCACACCAGGCGCGGTAACCACGCCGCATGACGTGCTGCACAGTGCCAAGCACAGTACGCTCCTATATTCATTAACGTAGCCTTTCTCACCGTGAAGCACAAAAATACACTTTGGGTCTATTTCTGATGCTATTTCTGATTTCTTTACTGTGGCATGCCAGCAGTGTCTATGCAGGAAACAGTAACGTCTGTGCTATAATATACAATCTAGGCTAATAAACAAATCAACAAATCTAGTTTTAACTCTTTGACAGGTTGACTGAAATCCTCTGAGAAGGTTAACGTTGTGTGTTACGTTTTATTATTATTTTGATTTATTAATGTTATTTACCTGTCAATTTAATGTCTTACATCTTCCATTTCTTTTATTTGATTAATTTATGCTTTTATTTATTTTATCCTTATCTGATCTCTTACTTGTTAAGTTACTATTGTAGTTTTAATGGTTTATTGATTTAACGGTTTACTGGTACCTTCTTATTACATTTTACTATTACGATTTTTATTATTTTATTAGAACATTTGATTTATTTTTACTACCCAACTTCTCAATCCCTGATTTCTGTATTATGTGGCTACACTGTAAACGAGGGTCTCCCTCAATGTATTCCGAGTTTAAATAAAGGTTAAATGAAAGGACTGATTGAACACCGTCACCTCCTCCTCTTCATATAGCTCTACATCACCCGGTGAGAAAGCCAGTAAAAGTCAAGGCAGCTAGTCAAAATGTTATTGTTGATCTCTTTTGTCATCTACATAAAGTTTATATGAGTAATAAACGGACAGTACAGACGTTTATATTACGTTAAAACCCAACACAAACAGGAAGCGCCCTTTCTTCACGACGCGTGTTGCGCCTGGTGTGGAGTGGTTCCAGATTAATGAGCGCCGCGTCGCATCTGGTGTGAAATGGGCTTTAGGCTCTGCTGAAGGATCTGCTGCCAACGTCTTGATTCCAGATACCACAGGGCACCTTCAGAGCACCTTCAGCACCTTCATCCATTTCTTCTTTTTACCCCTACCCCTTGTTTTCGAGGGTCTCCTTGCCCCTTAGAACTGAGTTACAGGGGTAGTGGTTGAAATCTTCCTCTACAAAATGAGACCCTCAAATAAAAGAGCATCACTTCATTAACAGCTACCAGCGCTGCTCTGTAGGCGACCCTGCCAGTCTGCAGTGACAGCAGAGGAGGGTAAAGTTCAGCTCCTCACTGCTGGGCTTTAGTTACATTTAGGGCATCATATGACTTCAAAGAGGGGGGCAATTATTTATTATCACCCACCCCTAATTCTTCAGTGATATGAAGCTGAAGTCAGATATTCACCAGATTCTTGCTCGAATTTTCCCATTCCACCTTACATTCTGGCACTTCAGGTGTCAGAACTGCTGGACTATTTAAGGTGGAATGGGAAAGTTAGCTAGCTAGCTACCAAGACATTAGCATACTATTAGTGATTTTTTATGCTTGTTGTGAAGAAAAGGACCATTATACACTGAAACGACATTAGACTAAGATAATACAGTGGTTATCGTCATTTTTAACAGAGAAAATTCTCACGTTTGTGGGTTTCTTTGGTCTCTTGTTCAGCCATCTTACCGGTTTTTCTTTTTTTTTCTCATAACTCTCCATTTGGAGTGTTTGAAAAACCTCCGTTTGGAGGGTGATGTAGCCCTAACACTTCACCTACCCCTCTATCTCAACAAGAATTGGGACACCCTACCCCTAGACGTGAACGCACAAAGCAGAGGGCTAAGGGCTCAGTGGTAGGGGTGAGGGGTGAAATGGGATTGGGCCTAAAGGTTGGGCATGTCAGAGCTATTTTGGAGCACGAGGATCAGCAGCATATTACATATTAATATGGTCGTTATGTTTTGGCTCACTGTTGTGTGTGTACATGTAAACATACTTTGTTTGGTCCAGATCTCATTTATTTTCAGGAAAAGGTTTTCAGTTAATGCAGGATTACTGTAGCTGGAAATAAGTAAAACTGTTCCTGTGATAAAATGCAGTGCTTTCTGACCTCGGCCTACTGGGGATGCTGAAGAGCACAGCGATCAGAGAGATTCCAGTGGCAGTGGCCAGAACAGAGCGCATCCAGAAGCTCAGCTGGCAGAAATTGCAGTACTGGATGATGGCAATGATGATGGCGCTGCACAGGAACATTGTTACCTGCAGTCGCAAGAGAGAGGTAGATCACAAAATAGTAAGTCTAACATGCAAAACTCACAATGTACACCTTCACCGATCAGCCATAACATTATGACCACCTCCTTGTTTCTACACTCACTGTCCATTTTATCAGCTCCACTTACTACATAGGTGCACTTTGTAGTTCTACAGTTACAGACTGTAGTCCATCTGTTTCTCTGCATACTTTGTTAGCCCCCTTTTACCCTGTTCTTCAGTGGTCAGGACCCCCATGGACCCTCACAGAGCAGGTACTATTTGGGTGGTGGATCATTCTCAGCACTGCAGTAACACTGACGTGGTGGTGGTGTGTTATTGTGTGTTGCGCTGGTCTGAGTGGATCAGACACAGCAGTGCTGCTGGAGTTTTTAAACACCTCAATATCACTGCTGGACTGAGAATAGTCCACCAACCAAAAAACATCCAGCCAACAGCGTCCTGTGGGCAGCGTCCTGTGACCACTGATTAAGGACTAGAGGATGACCAACACAAACTGTGCAGCAGCAGATGAGCTATCGTCTCTGACTTTACATCTACAAGGTGGACTGACGAGGTAGGAGTGTCTAATAGAGTGGACAGTGAGTGGACACAGTGTTTAAAAACTCCAGCAGCACTGCTGTGTCTGATCCACTCAGACCAGCACAACACACCACCACCACATCTGTGTTACTGCAGTGCTGAGAATGATCCACCACCCAAATAGTACCTGCTCTGTGAGGGTCCATGGGGGTCCTGACCACTGAAGAACAGGGTAAAAGGGGGCTAACAAAGTATGCAGAGAAACAGATGGACTACAGTCTGTAACTGTAGAACTACAAAGTGCTCCTATATAGTAAGTGGAGCTGATAAAATGGACAATGAGCGTAGAAACAAGGAGGTGGTCATGATGTTATGCCTGACTGGTGTATATACAGCATGCCTGTTAGGCTTAAGCCTGTTGCTTCTTGCCTCTCAATTAAAAACGGTGATTAGTTTAGTCATTTGATTCAAAAGCCACACGCCGGAAAGGAGCCCAAATCACCATGTTTGGATGCTGTCGTGTAGCGCAGGTCTTAACAGCATCAAAGCCTGAAACTTAATTACTATTTAATTATCGGCTCTGCAGGGAGCCGGACTTTGATCTTACAAGGCACTAATGACACCAATAATATCCTATATATGGAGTTCAAATTTGTTCAGATATTTTAGAAAATATTTAGTCTTAGATTTGAACTCATACCAGCATTGTTATGGTGCAGAAAATGGGTAATTAGGGATTTGGCGATACATAAAATAAAATAACTTGGTTTTATTTGAAAATATAAAATTGTAACCCAAACATGTTTTTTTTAAGTGTAACACATCTGTAAATGCTAGAGACACAAAAACGGGCGCTTCTGTAGAATGACCCAGTTATACGATTACAGATTGAGGTCCATCTGTTTCCTGTTTCTCTGTATAATTTGTAAGCTTTCCTTTACTCTGTTGATCAGGGTCAGGACCCCCCCTCAGTGGACCACCACAGAGCAGATATTATTGGGGTGGTGGTCAGTTCTCAGCACGGCAGTAACACTGAATGGTAGTGGCACGTATAACCCGAGTTCTGACGATCGATTAACAGAGAAACAGGTGGACAACAATGATTGCAGAACTACTCCTTGCATTTTCATGCTAAGCTGACCTGATAAAAAATGTCTATTAAAGGTTTTTGGCACCTGAAAAGCTATTTAACTGGACACTGTGTTGATTTGCTGAGAAAAAAACATGATCAGAATACATACAAATAGCATTAATACAGTAAGTAGTGACTGTATGTACGATTTCCCTTGCTGTGTCATCAGCCCGGCCCCTGATGCTCTCCCTTCATTTAGCTCTCTTTCTCACCTGGATGGGCAGGTGGAGGCTGTAGGCCAGATGAGAGAAGACCGATATGGCAGGAAGTGAGACGAGCACAGCGCCGATCACATGACGAGGGACCCAGCCGGACACCACCTTCAGCAGAGACTGTGTGCATCTCAGCACGTCGTCCAGATAGAACGTCATACTGTGGGGTTACAACTAAGAGTTAACACAGCTTTAGATGCATAAAGCCTCCATCGGGGGGCCTCCTTTGCACCTCATTTACATGTAAAGTCAGTTTTGAGATAGACGATAAAAAAGATCTATGGGTGGAAAGAATAAAGGCCTCAGCATGCTTCTTGTGGAGACGACGTTCGCCTGGCTTCAGCGAACCATGACCGCTTTTCCACTATGGAGCCGAATGGTTCTCAGGGCCGTACTGGGCCGTTCCGCGGTGGTCCGGACTCGAGAGACCGGTTATGGTTTCGGTTTCCATGTGTTGCACCGCTAAATCAGAACCAGGAAATGCGCAAGAAAACTTCACAAAACGAAACTCCAACGTCTGTCACTCCAACTCCAGTTTCTCAGCGCGCCCTCATCTTCTTTATCCTCTAAACAGGTGTTATTTGGGCACATGTTACTGAAACAGACTATACTGCGGTGGGTTTTACCTGCAGACGGATAACTATATTAGCAATATCGTCGCCCGACAGGGTCCAACTCAAAGCACCACAGAACAATTTAATTTTTATCTTTGTCACTTCAGTACCAGACGTTCGTATTAGTGCTCTTAGATACGAGTCTTTATCCTCTAAATGCTGTTTTTAATCATCGGTCGACTAGAACCGAGCCCGTACTGCAGTGGGAGGCACTGTGCACTCGCGTTAGCTTAGCCTAGCAGGCTACAGAAGAGGTCCGATTTCGGCTTTCTGTCACTCCAACACCGATCAGTCGACTTTGCTCCGGCTATTGTAAGTTTTTATCATCTATAGCTGTGACAGCAGAGCAGTGAATACACTTTAGCAACGTCTGAAATGTGGAGTTATACATTCCCTGTTTGAGTGGAGCGACCGGCGATCTGTTCTCCTGTGACCGAGTGTGAGTGACGAGGTCAGTGGCGTAACTGTACTGACCTACAGTGAACTCACCTCTTTCCCTACATCCTAACCAGCTTTAGCAGCGTTAAATCACATCTGCTCCTCTCAGCTACAGCACTGTTACAGCGCTCAGTCATATTTTAGTATTAGTGCTTCCCAAGCAATAAAGTGAAGGAAAGAAGTGGTTCATGTGAGTTACAGCCCTGATTTAAACGAAAGTAAACTGAAGATGCTGTATGTCTGTGTGGATCTGGAGAGTGAGAGAACGCTAGCTTCCCAGACTAGCTGTTTTTAGCAGCTGGCTAACTTGAAGCAGCGCCTCGTCACTCACACAGCACAGCGAATTGATGTTACTGTAGATCAAACAAGACACAAAAGCTAAATTCAGCTAAAACTAAATTCAGTTTAAACGTAGCTAAAAGGAGGTCTCAGTTTGTCTGGTGTGAGATTCACACTGCAGTTAATGTTTTTACACACGAGCGTCAGATATACTGATATACTGCGGTTCACCCCTCAAAACTACTGCGCTAGAATAGAGAAATCCAGATCTGCTAGCTGGAGTCTGAATACTGTGATCCGCTCTGACGTGGATGTGGTGGAGTGATGGCAGTAAGGCAGTGTGATCCATCACTGACCCACCGAGCCAGCTAATGTCTCTGTTCATACTAAGCCGACGTTATTGACAAACTGAACAGTTTAGCACTCGTCACGACAGCTAAAATGATCCATTTTCTAAATTATAAATATTACAAAAACTGCTTTGCTTTTCTGGCTGGTAAAAACAGCCAACCAGAGTCAGTCGAATCAAACCTGCACTGTAGTGTTTGGATCTCTTTAGCTAAGCTAAGTTAGCTAGGAGAGAAGAGCTGGCTAACATTAGCTTAGCTAGGAGGCTCCAGCTCCAGACACCAGAGAACAGGTTCATTTCGGCTTTGTGCTCCTCCAACACCAGCTGCTCGACTTCGCTTCCTCAGATTTGAGTCATCATCATCTGAATTTGTGTCAGTGAAGCTTTTATTGGTCAGAATCGAATCTGTTCTGTGGTGAGCAGCGCTGGCAGAATGCTAGCTAAGCTAACGCTAACCAGCTACTCTTCTCTAGAAACTGGTTACAGATTGAAGCTTTGCTGTTTATTGAATGGTGGATTTAAAATCGTTCACTGCTTTCATTTATGTGAGCAAACTGAATTAATCTGAGTGCTTTCAGGTTTGAGGAAGCAGAGCAAGATGCTGTGGTACAATACTGACATAAACACAGAACCAATCAGCGAACAGATACGTCGTTACATCATCCCACTGAACGGTTCTGTGGCCCCGAGTACGGTTAGCTAACTGTGCCAAAAACACGGGCTGAGTCCGGTTTTTAGGCGTTCTGTGTCAAACCGTGTTTGCGTGGGAACACCACTAGAACGGTTACCCTCCGTGCTCAGAACTGTTCGGCCCTGCAGTGGAAAAGAGACCAATCTGACGTAATTGCGCAGAGATGATTCAGCAGTACTAACTAGCAGTGAGCACCAACACATATAGGTTATCCTGTATTTAGGTTCACAAGAGGACGAGGCTGAAGTTGGCTTTCTATTTGCCAGCCATCTCCTTTTTTTGATGTTTTTCAGTTTCTGACATAATTTGAAATTACCTGTTCCCCTTTACATTGTGTGTAAATTTCATGATGAATGAACTAAAAGAAATGACCTAAAATGACTTGGAAAAAACGTCTGGTTCCATTGACTTACATTAAAAGTAAAGTATGTTTTTTCCTTCTCCTGTAAAGTTACCATTTTGGAGATACGAGGTTTTCTTCCAACAACAGCGATATATATTCAGTCTGAGAGGAGATGAGACCCCTGAGCAGAAAGCGTTCTGCGTTCTCCACTTCAATAAGAGTGAATCAGTCATAACTGTGCAACATGATCTTTGTCGTCAGTGAACCTCCAGCAGCTCAGAGCGTTCGTCGTTGGTTCCACAACACTGGATTATCTCCGAAATCGCACTGAAAGAGCCGTGAGTGCAGCAACACCCGACATGCTCAATCCAGTATGGGATGAGTTTGACTATGGTGTTGATGTCGTCCGTACAGCTGGAGGAGGTTCATACTGAGACCTTGTACAATTACATAATAAACTTTACGCTCAACTAAACCATTTACAGTTCACTGCATTGATCTGT